TAATATTGATTAGGTTCATCACAAGCACAGTAATTAAAGTCTTAGTTTCAATGAGACAACCTGGTCACTGAATTCAAAGAAACAGTGTCAACGCTCGTGTAATTAACCCTTTTAAACACCAGTGGTAACCATATGTGCCATCTGCTTAAAAAATCAGTCACGATGTATTTTGTATTATGAGCTTCATATAATTCACAGTGTTTAACAGATTATTTAGTTAAATAATTCACATATTATTATATTATAAAACAATTATGACATTATTATTATATTTGTAGGATTTTAGGACGTTTCGAAAGAATCAATTACCTCAATTTCAAACAGGAAATGGGGATGGTAGGTTCGTTCGAGACGTCGGGGTAGAATCATCACAGATGATAAACAGACCGTCGGTAACCACGGTGGAATTAAAAGTCTGTTTGGGCATCAAAAATTCAGAAACAAATATAACACAGGGTTACCTGTTGATAATTTATAATCAGCGACGTTTTTCTTTGCAAAAAATTCCTTTAATTTTTGTTACACCAAACTATATACAACGACACTTGTTTCAATGAACTCTGTAAAGACCTGTGTGGGTTTTTAAATAAATTATTTATGATGTGGCCACTTCCATAAACCAGATTCTTCCCAACAGGACCACATCCTGATCCTTATAAACGCAGTCCACATCCTAACTCCCTGTTTTTTTTTAAGATCAGCTTTAATATTATACTCACGTGTCCATGTCCTTCAGTATATCAGCCTATACTGTATAACCCACCGCAAATTATTTTCTACCTCACCCACAATAACACGGTCAGTAACCTCCAGGCGAGGTTAGCGTTATATAATTGCTACTTAATACGACTCATCCCTGCTACATGCTAATTAGCGTAAGACTTGCGAGCAGCAGGTACTCATTATTTATAATACAGTCACCACTTCGCCACAAGAGGGCTAAAGAGGAAGTGGAGCCACAAGGTGACCCCAAGCAGGAAATGACAGCTTGTTTCACAGGTATAACTTACGTCGAACTGCGAAAAGAATTGGAATTACACGATCGACCAACCTCCGAAGCTAGAAACTTCAGCTGTGTTTCTTGTGTACTTTGGCCTTGAGGCAGTGTTCATTCAGTCGTGCTTCCACACTGAATTCATCTTTTTCCTTCTTTTAATTGCATTTCCTTATGTTTTATTTCCTTCTTCATTTATTCCTCTCTCCAGCCAACAAAAATTCCTCGCTCCGTTCATTTCTCATTACTAAATTTCCTTCATTAAAATTTCTTCAACTCTTTCTTGTTTCTTCCCTTCTTGCACATTCATTTCTCACTTGTTTTTTTTTCAATTTCTATAGAAACTCGGTGAAATGTTCACGACCCAAACGGAATTCAAACCCGCGAATCAATATTTGAACAGCCTAACAAACAGCTCAGGCACCAAGATAACATCAGAAAAGCTGTTCATTTCCGGATTTGTTTTATTTCTACAATAATGTTTGTGATCGTACTTGCATTGTACTGCTTAAATTTATTCAGTTTAACAGTGCGTTGCAACTTAGCTTAAGATAGGAAGGTCCAAAACAACTATTCAACAAATGGCATGAAACATCACCAAATGGAATCATATTTGAGTTTTAAGTTCTTTACACCTGATGATGGTTTTATAAAAACTGAAACATGTTGTGTAAAGGATGTTCCAAAATGTAAATCGATCAATCGATATGGAACATCAATGATATTTTATTATCTTAATTATAAGAAATTTTAAATATTGTGATAAGACGGATTAAAATAAATAATTGTTAGAATATTCACAATATGACGCAATTACACTATCTTATGAATAATATTTTTATTTCTTGTCCATGTTTCCAGAGTTTCAAAGTCAGTTCTTCTTGGTTCACACAGACGATATCATCATAAATCATAAGCATAAACGAGTAGTTGATCAGAAACAGACGCTGCAACCATTAACTAACTGCTGGAGCCTGTCGTGTCAGTTACGCAAACAAACGGCGCGAACACCACCGCATAATAATATTTCAAAGCTTTAAATGTCGGCAAAGTACACCCAGCTCAATCAAAACCCACATCAGCTTGTTTACACGGTCAGTGATGTGTTTCGTTGGCAACGAAGACAGTTATGAAATGTCGAAGAAGGTTAAAATAATGCTATTATATTATTCATACAACACACACGCAGTTGTGAGACACAGAATTAAATAACTTATTACAAACATGCATATCATAACACGCTTAAAAACCTGAATGATTACTAACGACTTGAGCGAATGCAATGTTCCATCCAAATAAACCGTTTAAAAACGATGGGCTTCCAACGCAAACGGTCATCGAGCGGTATATTCACGAATAATGGCATCAACAGGGTGTTAAAGGAAGTGGTTGTAGCCTATTTTAAGAAACTGTGACGCGGTTGTGAGAAGTTTACTAAAAACTTAGAAAACTTGTAAGATTCGAGGTTTTCACAGCGGTGAGTATGAAGATTTCTGTCTTCTGGGTTGTTGAGCTGTGTAGACTGATCGCCCTGATGACGGAGGCAGTATGACCTCAGAAACGTTTGTAAACATCAACCAGACTACACAGCGCAACAACCCAGAAGACAGAAATCTTCATCGCCCTGATGACGGAGGCAGTA